TCTGGAATTTGTTGCAGTCGTTTAGACGCAATGAGTTCTCGGAATCCATCAGCGAGTGAATCGAAGATTGTGGTTAGTGTGTTCCATAAAGTCCCTTTCACAATGCAAACAAACATAAGCATGGCGTTAACACGAAAGTTAGGACTACGTCCATAAGCGAACTTATTCACAATGCATTCGCATAAGCATAACACGTTTACTTAAAAGCTTGCAAGCCTGCAAGCTTCATGCTTCTGTCCTTATGCTTAAGTAAGATATAAGAAATGAATCACAGTACGTTAACTCAAAATCGAGAATCGAAATAGGAGCGAAGTCGATTGATGAACCGCCATATGGGCCATGGACATAGTGGATACCTCGAAATCGATTCTCACATCCAATAGTAAACCAGAATGTCTCACAGCCAATAGAAACTCTTATTTTGCTTATGTTTATGTTAGACATTTTGAACACTTCAGTCTATCACATGTTAATGTTTACGTCTATGCGTTATGCTTATGTTTACATTTGCATTGTGAATGGCCCTTCAGTCGTCTGTACATGTACGCAGCTCTGTACCTCTTCCATCCTTTATCACGGATGCAGAGTATTCGGTTTTCTCTCTTAAGGGTTGTCCTTCCTTTGTTTTTATTAATCAGATTTAGATTAGATTAGATTTATTTAGTTAAAAAATCAGTAAAAACTGTATGGGGGAGAAAATTAACAGCGCACGTTTTCTTGAGTACCAGAATCCCTTTCCGTCATTTTAACTATAAATAGTTGAAAGGTAAGTAAAAGTTTAAAATAAATAAATAAAAATAAATTTAAAAAAAAGCACGAGATTAGCAATATTTGAAAACTTAGACATTTTCATTTCCGAGTTATAGAAAACTTATTTGCATCGATAAACGAATTGCAAGTATGATTTTTCTGCATTGCTAACAAAATAGTATCCCGCCCTTACCTCTACTCCTAGCATTACAAGCAAAAGGAGAGTTCAACATAATGTGCGGATAGTGAAGCTACATTTACGTCTAGAAGCAAAACAAGGGGCCGTCTCAGCAATTGCTCAATGGATCAGAGAAACTGGACAAAAACCTGATTGAGAGATGGGGGTCATCGACCAGGCAGCTGAAGTACATTATTTGTTACAAATATATTAAGACTTTTTAAAAAAATTATACAATACAAATGTAAACTAATTCAATATATCATTGTTTTGTTAAAATAAACGTAATTTTTAGCTATAACAATCAATTCTTTCTCAATTTCTTTGTTTTTAAACATAATTGGAAAGAGAGACTGAGTGAGTGCCCTTGAATGACCTTGAAGAAGTGGAAACTTAGAAATAACACTTTCTATGGCAATGTAGGCTTCGGAAGCCAAATCGGGTGGTCCAAGCAAAGTGAAATAGAGACCATTCAGTGCCAGTCCGCTCGATTTTTGCATAAAGAAGCAACGCACGCACAATTGATATGAATCAGAGTCAAATTCAGATAAGTGATTCCTTCCATTTGTGCTACATAATACAGATGCTCCGGCTATAGACTTGTAAAGTATGTTTCGGATTATTTAATATTCGTTAGATAATGCATTTTAATATTTTGGGAAGGTATACCCAATGTAACCTAATTATGCAAGAATACTGTTCGTGCAAGTTCATTTTGAGATGTTTAAGAATCTGCGGAGAACGGACATTTACGTTTGACTCCAAAAATGTCAAAGTTCAAATAATCAATTGTTATAATCGTTTTTGGAAAAAAAAATATTTCTTGAAAATCTTAATAGTAGTTTAAGCTTTAAAATAAAATAATTGACAATGTGCGTGTTTGTTGTTAGATCAATTTTACTTCCTCGTACTCGTTTAACTTTGAGTATAATGAAGTAAAACTTCATATAAGCTGTAGAAATTGTGGCATGATAGAAAGTATTGTGCAGGAAGGTAGTGGGAGGAAATATTAACCTGTGATATTAGATTTATTGGCACCTATATAATTATTTGAGTGTCGAAACCAGTACATTGTACTGGTTTTCTGTGTATTTGATTAATTCATCATATCAATAGGAGTTCATTATTTCATTATTCATATTATTAATTCATTATTCATTATTTCATGAGTTCATTACAGTTCATTATTATGTGGTTATAGTATATTATATGACTTTTCAGTTAATTCTTTTAGTATGGGAATTTGATTATTTGTAGTCATGATTTGTGTTGCATTTTGGCAGTAATAATTGTTAAATATTCCTGTATTAAAAGGACGATTTTATCTCGTTTTTCTTTTCTTTGTAGTTTAATTCATGCTTTTAAATCATTCAGACTGTATGATGACTTGAGTTTTTACAATAAAGAAAACTGAAAATACCATAGGTTTACATTTTTCCTTAGAACTTGTTTTAGAATGTAGTTAAAGAGGAGACACCAATATTTGTGAAAACAGGTAATTTAGTTTTGTAATTTTAATGTAATTGAAATAATTTGATATTTCAAATTATGTACATTTGATATATCTGCTATCGGGTGCAAATCTCTCTCCTATAATCAGATTGACTCCCAGGATACCATGTCTTCTAAAAAGTCTTATAATTAAACCCCATTTACACAATTAGACTGCTCTGTATTGACGTTTCTTTGTGAACTATATCATGTGGGGAAGATCACTACGAGGTATTGCGATGACAATGGGAAGATCTCATTTAACTATTCAAGGTATGGTAGACCAATTCAAGTACGATGGCCGATTAATTAATAAAATAGACCGAAATTCTTTACTCCATGAACGAAATATTGTCAACGTCATCAGCAGGAATCCACGCCAAAGTGTCGTTAAAATGACTCGAGTCAGAATACGAGAACTCAGTACTTCTGAATTTTCGAGGAACTTTATGAGACATCATTTAAAACACGCATACTCATAAATGCAATAATGTATACAAGTCGGCAATAATGCATATATTAAGGACGCGAGAGAAATGCCAAAAAATTACAATTGCATGAATTTTGAAAAAACAAAAGAATACACCAATACGGCGCTTATATCATATTATACTGTACAATTAGTAGTATCCCTATCAGAAGATTAATGAAAAAATTGCGCTATTTTTGAGAATTTTAAGAGAAAACTAAACTTTTGTAATTTTTGAAAAACAGAACAATAAAGAAAAATGACGGCTATGTCATCTTAGAGTACATTTAGTATTGTCCCTACCAAAATTTTAAAGAACAAACTAGAAGACGTTTTCGAGAAAATTTTGTTTTTGTTAGTTTTAAATATTGCATATATCGCGTGCAATATTGTCCGAAAACGACTAAAATTTTCAAAATAATGTACATGACCTTAATGAAAGAACTAACTATTGAGAGAAAAACCTAAAGTAAAAATCTCCATCTTCCATTTTGTAATAGTAGGAAAAAGCCAAAAAAGTTTCAAACTTTTGAAATTTTCCAAAAAACATAGTTAACAGTGAAAAACGGACCAATTCCATTTTTATAAGAATATTTTACTCTATTCTTACAAAATATTTAAAGAAAACATTTGTAGTCATATTTGAGAAAATTTTGAAAACATCGCAGGCTTTTTGTAGTACCCCTAAATTTTAAAAAAAGGTTTTTAAAATCGCAAATCTTGCAATCGATCCACATTGACCGGGGAATATGCATTTGGAAAAAATCGTATGTATGGTTTAGGCGCTAGTGGTGTTCACACTTCATAGACGGACGGACGGACGGATAGATATACAGATGGTTGGCCGTCAACCGATTTTTCGTTATCAAGAACCCACAAAACATGGATTCTGGCTACACCACGCGTTACAGGTTCGTAGAGAGCGTTCTAAATTTAGCTACTAATTTTTATGCACATTTTCGTTTCCAGGACCCGGTAATAAGAGTTTTTCTACCAAAAATTCGCGGTTTTCGTCGCGTGGTATTACATAATTTTATCTCTACTGCGCAAGCAGTAGCGAGGAAGTGGAAGGAAACGATCAAAGAAAATTTGATCTTGTTATAAAATTCGGTGTTAATGGAATGAGACCCTTATCAATTACAAGACCCATTACAATTACAATTACAAGAAGAAACATTAGTAATACTACATTTGAAAAACTAGTAGTGTTGAAGGGAAATGTGTGTCCGATTGTATACTACAACTTTTTGTGAAATAAATTGTGATTGGATTGTTATTGGTTGTATATTCAAATAATATTTTGTATCTAAAATGCTTTTATGGAAGGAATTTGTATTTGGTATCTAAAATACTTTCGACGAAGAATGATGCTGGTTTCAATTTTTGTTGAACTCTCTGGATTCTTGAAAATTGACAATTTAGAAATAATGCGAGAAAGTGTGTTATAACAACATCATTAAATATTGAAAAAAATGTTTATAAAAGGAAATTACGATGCTGAAATAGTCCATTTGATACGAAAATCTCAAATATTTTCTGACCACTGAAGAGCAATATTCACGAAGTTCCGTCAGGTTACTGGCCAGATCAAGGCCGTTGCCAGCCGTTACAACCGTGTTCACATTTTATTTTTATTTGAAGTTGTAGTTTTTGAAAAACTGTAAGGAATTTTTGTTTTTGATATTTTTTGATTCATTATTAGTTTTACCCGCCAGCATAGTAATTTTACCAACTAATGAAACAGTGTTTTTCTTTACGTCGGGTACATAACCTGTTTTGTTTTGGCAGACAATCAGCTGATCGAACATCAAGTTTTTTGAGATATTGATGACTTTTTATCGTTTAATAGTTACGAGCATTGGGGCTTTTGCCCTGGATTGCTTGTGTTTGTTGAGATTAATGTGCGAATTTGTTTCAGTTTATTCTTAAATTACATTAAGAAAACTGAGGATACGTGAAATACGAGGATACGTTCATTGTTAAATGCGAAGATATAACCTAAAACAAACTGAAGAGTATAGCGAACGTTGGAATGTGCTGAACGTTTCTGTGCTGACGTGCATCATTGTGTGAGTTGTGTTCATTTGATTACTGGTCAAACATCTAATAAATATGCATTGGACCCTTCACCTAAATGGTGCCCCTCGTCGGGTAGAGCATGCAGCTGTAGCCTTAGGAGATAAAATTTATTTTATTGGAGGGTATTGTGAGACAGAAGTGGACTTTAAAAAGCCAATTGTGGTTAACTTGTTAAATACAAGAACTTATCGATGGAGTATTCTCCCAACCACAAATGAAAGAGAATTGATTTCTGAAACACCGTATCTTCTTCGAGGACATTCTGCTGCTGTGTACGGCGATAAAATTTATGTTTGGGGAGGGAGAAATTATGCTGCAGAATGCGATGTTTTGTTATGTTTTGATAGTGTTACATTGAAGTGGAGTAGGCCAAAAGTGACAGGTTCTATACCTGATGCTAGATATGGACATACAGCTTGTGTTATAGACAACTGCATGTATATATTTGGTGGTGAACATTCTAGTAGACCTGTGCAATCAAATGATGTCCACTGCTTAGATTTACTGTCAATGAATTGGAAGAGAGTATACACAAATGGTGACCCTCCCCCGTGCCTTTCATTTTCCGCTGTTCAGGCAGTAGGCAAACGAATGTATATTTTTGGAGGTGTTTGTGTTGGTTCAACTCCTACAAATTATTACCCTGATATTGTGTACTTGGATACAAGTACAAGAAGATGGCACAAACCTATAGCTTCTGGTTCAAAACCACCTGTCAGAGGAAAGCCATCAGCATTTGTTCACAATGGTTATTTTTATGTTTTTGGTGGTTACAATGCTCGAAGTGGTGAGCATTTTAATGACATTCATCGATTTCATCTGGAAAAAAATGAATGGAAAATAGTGAAACCTTTAGGAGAGTTACCGAAGGCTCGCCATCGACATTCAAGTCTTCTTGTGGGAGAGAAAGTTTTTGTGTTTGGAGGAACTAGTTGTTTTCCGTTTTCTTCTGTGTCTACGGGTCTTACTGCAATGGTGCTTTTTCATCGCAATGATGTTCATGTATTGGACTTGTCACCAAGTTTACGAACTTTATGCTTGCAAGTTGTTATTAAACATAAACTGGATACAAACATCTTACCTCAGGATTTAAAAAGAGAACTGTTTCTAATTTCTCCCGAGAAATCTGTTGTTATTTATGTATAATAAGCTTCTTTCTTTTGTTACTGGATACATTTTTCTACAATAGAAAGCATTACACAAATTTAATATTCTTGTGTATTATTGAATGAACATAAAATGCTTTTTATGCTGATAGGTCATGCATTTTGTACTTTGTGGCTGGCGAGTAAAGAGTTGCCTCACTCGATAAGAAAGGAAGAAAAATAAGAACATGTGATTGCAGATGGTAGTCACAAACAAGTCATAAAAATGAAGTGGACTTGAACAGTTTTAAAAATGTAATAACAATGCCAATAGGATAAGTAAGCATTTAAAATTATGTTTGTTTATCTTTGAATGAACCACTGTGTGGAGTCATTTGACTTGAATTGACACAGTAGCAAGTAATTTTTGGTGCTAGTAGGATATAATTTAATGAATTGATGCAAAACATAACCATAAGATCACAAAATAGACAATATTCAGTGATTCTAGAAAAAATGCAGGTGTTTGGGAATTCAGAATAACAGCATTGAGTGAAATGGAGAATTTCTTTACTTTTCAGTTTTTCCGAAGATTATCTGAAAACTGTTGAACAAAGGTTTTATTAAAAAGTTCTCTTAAACTTCTGGTAAAAATGAAATCTATCCTTGAGTAGTATCTATTAGTTTAAATTTTCTTTTAGATACTTTGCATCTCCATTAGTTAAAGCTATTTGAAAATTGGTTTTAAGGATGTTGTGAAAGGGATATTATAATTTGCAACATTTGATAATGTTACATTTGATTTCATAAATACACTTTTTGAAAAAGAGCAACTTAAGGAGCGAGTTTTCAAATTTGTATGAATGCAACAAAGCAATGTTATATATGAGGTGCATACACTATTTTTGTATCACAGCATTATAAATTTATAAAGGAAACAAAATTAAATCTGGAAACAATTTTCAAAAGCAGTTTTAATGTGGCAAGACAGATGTTGGTAACAAGATAATACAGAGAGATAGGTTGTACTTTAAAATGTAATTTTTATGAATGATTTCTTGCTGTGGGAAAGGTTTTATAATGCTGGTATACACGTTTGTTAGGCTGTCCGAATGATACGTTTGTTAGATCATAAGAGCAGGATGTGTGAACCTTGATAGAAAATTAGAGCAATTAATTTTCTGTATTGAAATTGAATTTAGTAGGTTGTAAATTGCAACATAATTTGTAAATTGAGATGTACAATATGTTTGATTAAAATTTCATGATGAATTCCCCCATTTCTGTTTGTGTCATTGCAAAGGAAAGGTCCTTTTTTTTAAAATTTATTTCTTTAAGGTTGCATCAACATGTAGGTCATTAACAACCAGAAAGGTCCTTGTGTTGTTGTTGTGAAAAATGCCAAGTATAATTTTTGTTTGTAATTCTAAGTAAAGACTATACGGTTTAAAAACACATAGTGATAGTTTGAAATTTGATTCCTATTCACATTTAAGTGTAGGAGTCAGTGCTGGTGCTAGGTGTAGGCAGACTGAGCGATTGCCCAGGGCCACATGAGTCAAGAGGCCCAATGGTGGGTAAAAAGTATTAAAAAATTGAAAAAAGTTAGAACTCAAAATCGTTATCATAATTTTATAAGTCACAGTACAGTAGTTTGATATTTCATAAAATTTTCAATTAATTTTTTACCTTACATTAACATACGTTCTACTGAATTATTATTTATTATTTCATGTTTTTTACAGATAATTTTATTAAACGCTAACTTAACACTACAATTTTTTTAGTGTTTTAAACTCAATGTAAAATATTACTTGATCATTAAATACTTTTACTTAAAACATATTTCCAAAACCTTATTCTACCTTAAACATAATTTTTGTTATTTTTTAAATAAAATAGTAACTTATGGTTTCTTGATACAACTTTCACATTTTTAATTTAGGGGGGTGGGGGCTACATTTCAGGATTGCCCCAAACTCAAAATTATCTAGCCCCAGCACTGATAGGAGTTAACCTGGTAAAACTATGGATGTTAAATATTCAAGAAAAGCAATAACTTAGAAGAAATAATTGATTAGAAACAAAAGCTTTTTATCAAAAAAAAACAACAACCAATGTTAATATGTTTCATAAAAGAGAAAATGATTGACAAAAATACCAAACTATAAGGACACTTGCATCTTCAATATTAGGAAGTGGGAAATGGTCCAATATTAAACATTTAAAATAACATGATCATTAAATAGTTTAGAATCATCTAGTAATACATAACACTGACTTCTCATGCACTCTATTCTTTCTTTAATATCAATCAAATCAAATTTGTTGATATCTTCTGGTTGTATTAAAGGCTGCTCGTTTGATATGGCATACTGTATAAAGTCCTTTCCTTTGTTGATACTTCTAAAAGGTTCATATTGCATGTTTTTTATTATTTTTTTCTGCTTGAATTATCAATTGGATCCCAATCTTTCAAACACTTTGTCAATTGAAGCATTTGTGCTTTTTAATGGACATACTCACTGTGCAACTTTTATTGATGACCAACTGCCCGAGTAAATGTTTACTTTGTTTTCAAATAAAATAAATGTATTAAGTGTACATCTTTAGCTAGCCTCAAAAAAACACAATAGTATCTGGGCAGTTAAACCATTCAAATTTTAGCTAAGCTCCATTGTTGTGAGGCCCGGTATGTCCGGAGACACCTGGTATATACAATCAATTGAATCTCCTTTACCCCAAATGGAAAACCACAGTATTTGTTCCAGTATTAGGGATAACTGAAAAGTGTTTGTAGATATCTCAAGTATTCTCGATTTTTTGAAAACTTCTTGAATTGGATATTTAAAAATTGTTGTTATATTTTTATCTTTTCTACTTTTTGACACAATTGTATTGTAGTAGTAATATTTCTCAAATAATGATGTAGTCAGCTCACAGGATAGTGGTGCAAAACAGTATTTTTGTTTGATTGCTTTTCAAGTGGCAATGTATGTATATTTTTTTTACCTTCTATTTTGTATGTGTTCATATTGAATTACCTGCATACTCATTGCAAAATAAAAATTTTACATTTTTATTATTATGAAAAAAATACTTCTGTATTAAAGTACCATAGAAAAGATCAGAAGAAAAGTTTTTAAAGCCCATGAACAGTTGTAAATAAATATAAAGTTATAACGTCATTTTTACCAGATAATGTGAAATCTGTTTGGGTGTCAGTTTTTGCTGACAAAATAAAATATAATACTATAGTTAGAACTTTTACTCAGTGTACCTACTCTCACACATAATTATTGCTAAGCATACATTGTATTTAAATTATGTTTATCGCAGAACCTATGAAATAATAATTTGCAAGAGTGATAATTACTAGTAAAAGGAATGTTAAAGATTTCTGAAATGTGTTTGTTGAATGTTATTTTTTAGTGGGAGGAAAACCTTTGGGTACTTAGATTTTGAGGCAATGATAATCTTTGTGAGGGTTTTTTGTGAAAAATTTCAGAATGATAATGAGAAAAACTTCATGGGATAAGGTCATTTAAAACTGGTGGTTAATTGTAATATTTTCATTGAGAAACACCTACAGTTAATGTAAAGCAATCATCTTTTTAAATATAATATTATTTAATATTTTATCAGTCACAACGATTTTTTTTATACTTTGCAATTTAATTACTGAATATTTTATGTGAACCTTTGCAATAGGACCACATTAATACTTATCAGAAATTCTGCAACAGTTGAAAGGTAATAAGTTAAGTTGTATGTATTTATTTGAGGTAACACTGATGTAATATTTTAAATGTTAATGTAACATAAATTAGAATATACAATAAATAACTACTACATTGAATTATTCATTCATTTAGGTAAAATATGAGTTTGTGTAATAAAAACTTGTTTTTCTTAAAATTTCTAAGCACACTTATGAAAGTAGTACATATGTAGTTTGTGATTTTATTTGCAAATGGTAAAAGTATTTTGAGAATGTAATGATTACCTGGCACCATATGTTAAGCTGTGGGGAAAAAAATTCAAATTTCGAAAGAAAGTCATTGTTCAAATTATTCATATTGGAAATGTAATGAAAGTTTTGTTTACACATGTGACAGCTGATTCGTATTTCCTAGAGGTAATATTTCAGCATATCGACTAGATCATTTAGAACTGAAAATGTTCTGCTGAAAAAGTAAGATCCGAGGAGATTAATTGTAGGGAGGACCAACCTTAGTACCCACTGTGGCTAAGTCACATTCTCACTTGGGCAAGTGCACATGACCTTTTTGAGGGGATCAGCACTTTTATGCCGCATCCATTTTTATACCCCAAGGTTATTAGTCCCAGGGGAATGAAGTACGAGATGAGCGGATCGGCTGTTAATTATATATAATTATTATAATCAATAATTATTGAAGATATATTATGCTCTATAATCTCAATGACTTTTTTCATTTATCTTTATATGGATATGGTTTTTTAAATAAAATTATTTAATATAAAAAATTAATGAATTGATTAATACAGCTGTTAAATTCTTAAATGAATTATTTAGTAATTTTTCATAATCTTCATTGGAAAATCAGCACTAGCTGTAACATTAAGTCAAGGGAAAGAAAGTCTTAAATTACTAAATCATATATTCAGATTCAGATAAATTATTAATTAAAATCATAAGTGCTGAGTGTAAAAAAAAAATTAATAATGATAATAATAATAAAGTTTGGTTTTTTTAACATTCTAATGCTGGCCCTCAAATACTGACTAGAACCAATTAAGTACCATTTTATATAGGATTTTTAAACTTGTAAAAAAATCACTTTTTTGTTGACATTTCACTCTGTAGTTATGTATAAATGTTCTGCCCTCTTCATTTTTTTGTGTTAGATTTTAATAAAGTTTTTGTTAAATAAATATTGCTTTAGTAATTCTTTATTACTCTTTTACAGATTGATTTAGCCCACCTGTCTAAACATTTTTGTGTAAATGTAAATTGTTCAGTAAATGATACAGTGATTTTCTCCACAAATTTTCATAGATATGTGTTCTACATGTGCT